ACTAAAGTTTACATTACGTTTAAGGATGTTTGATAAGTGGCAACACAAATCTGTTGTAAGTGAAATTTGTGATCATGAACAAATTATTAGCAAATGATTAAAAAAATAAAACATTCAGACATTGAATTCTTTGTGAGTCGGATGTGAGTATTTACTGTAGTATTTACTGTACTCTTTATAACGGTTTTATTGTGAACAAATGATGAATAAATCATCAGTAAAGCTTATTTTTTGATGAGCTATTACTTTTAAGTTAGCCTGTTATAAGCACAATACATGATTGTGCTATTTTTAACTCTGTTTGTCTTTTTAAAACATTTTTTTTAATATTCTGGCATTTTGTTGTGAAGCCCTTTGAGATGCTTATCTTAAAAAGGTGCTACAGAAATAACATTTGACTTACTTATTTAACTACAAATTACATTAAATTTGTGAATGGTGTACCGCCAGCAGATTGTAATGTGTCAGTGTTAAAGAAGTTCATCACATGGGTTCTGTGTCGAGTGGGTACTGGCCTCAGTCTGAACCTTTGCACCATCTGTGACCTGCCAGGGAGGTTCCTACAATCCATCACTTATTAACGATGTAGTCATAATTTGTTCATGGTCATGTTCTAATTTAAACTTATAAATGGCTTGATGATTTCTTAATACAACTCTGTATATTAATGTATTGCAAATGATGATCATTAAAGCTTATAAATAATGGAATTACTACAAAGCATTACCTGCATATGTACAGAGCATGTCCAGCCTCTGTCCTGACCACTGTCACTGTATGTGTATAATTAGGCACCTGCAATACAGTAACACAACCAACATAACACATATAATGCCTGCTTACAATGTTGCAGCATAAAGGAACTCCATTTGTAAGCATAAAAGACAACAGCTTTGCATACAAAGTGGAAGAAGGCCTGCACTCCACTACAATGCTTGACGTCTGGGGGATTCTCCTGCTGGCTGCGATCTATAAATATTGTTCACATTCTCTGTCGGTGATGCACCGAGGAACAATACAAGCTCGCAGAGACCTCCAAGAGTTTAACTGTCAGGAAGTCCCAGCTGTTGTCAGCCATAAAAAGAGTGTCTTATCTGTGCCAGCACATGTGTAGTTAAAGCACCAATTCACTCTGGGTTATGGGGTGTGTTTTAGACATTTTAATACTGACTTGCAAGATCATGTCTTAATAAAATGGTAATTTGTAAACATTTGAAAATGTTGTATATATCATTCTGGTAATCAATAAATGCTGATTTTTTTTGTTCTAGTAAGCTCTAAAACGTCAATAAAGACCCACAGACTGTGTCTGTTACCTCATGTACAGTGCTTAACAAATTAATTAGAGCACCGCTCAATGTAAGGCTCACACCACAGCTGCCATAAATTAACAGCATTGATAATTAATACAATAATTTTTTATGTTGCTATAATAGTTAATCCACTTGTGTGTGCAAGCTCCTTAATGCTAAAACACAATTATTGTTGTTTTCCATGAATTTTTACATTTACCGTTATACAAAAAAGCAGAAAAATCAGTTTCAATTAAGATGCCAAATTACAGGTACTTACGTGCATCCCTGAACAGAAAAATTAGTTTTAGCACTTGAATTTAATTTTAAGTAATTCGACTTCTCAAACTTGGGAATAAAAACATGAATTCAGTTTGCTATTTGCCTAAAAAAATAATGATAATATAATATTTATTTATAAATGCGTTTTTAAAAAAAATAACATGTTCTTTACTTATTCTTTTGACAGGTGGTCTAATAAATTTGTATTGTACATGTACATACTGTTGTATACAATATACATTTTTGAGTGTTTTATTTATTTGTGTAATTATGAATTGGATCAATTCCAATATGAGCATTAGAGGTTATCCCAGTCGGTCATGTATAATGAGCTGCACTTGGCTCTGGACCTGGGATTTAATATAGTGCTTATTAAATAGAGAGAAACTTGGCACTGCATAATGTCCACACAGACATTCACCTAACAGTGTTTACAGGATAAATGCACACATAAATGTTTCATGGGTTTCTTCAGGGACATGATTAAATATAGTGATTGCTGTTATGTCATTAACATAATGTCTTAATTATCACGTATAATTTGTGATGAATTAGGCAGCTTTTTGTTCCACGGTTACAGAGAGAGTGCCCAACACCACATTGCCCAGATTAGGATTTTTAAAAGATGATTTAATCACGAGTTAAACCAATCCAGTTTTACATGAGGGATCTACAGATCTCAGATATACAAATGCGCACTGATTTCTAAGAGGTGGGAGAACGGCTGCTTTTACAATAGTGTGGCTTCATATCAGGCTTTATGACAAGTGCGTGACACAAGGGCAGAGAAAAGGATAGGAAGCCTTGCTGTCGGCTCTGCCCACCTAGGCAACCATCTGTTTGAAAAACATTCCCTGGGATCTGCATATCCATTAAGAGCTGCGAGCACTTAATCAGCCTCCCTCAACTTCACCCAGTCCAGAGGATGTCCTGTCCATTCAAGTCTCTGTAATCCTCACTGTTGTCATTCCTACTGATGCATTTACTTGCTTGTACAGTTTTCAGGAAACAGTGTAAGTTACTGCCTGGTTTGGTTGTTGGAGGGGTGGGAGGGATGTCATTATATTGCACTTAAGACTGTGATCCAAATAAAATGGCAGCTTAAAATGGCAAAGTCTTAAGATGACAGGATTATAAAGATTTATATATAATCTCTGTTGAGTGTTGATTCTACCACTGAAATAATTAGAACTTCTTTTTCATTTTATTGGTTATATTCATCCAATTGCAGCATAAAATCAGAAAACACGTGATTCTGTAATATCTGACTCAGTTTTAAGTTAATGCCATCTTCAGCTGTTTTCTTAATTTCAACTTTACATTATATTTTAAAGAAGTTACGTCATTCCTTACATCATAGTAAATTATATCCTCATTTAAGGTCCCTAGGTCTTAATGCACATAATATTTAGTCAATGAAAAAAACAGAGGCACTGCAGTTCTTGGTGCTTCTGGGGTACCCCTGATGGTGCTGTTAATGGGAAAATCTCGTGTTTGATAGCTATATATTTTTAAATTCAGATGAAGGCTGGAGGTCAAAAGGTGATGTTTTTTATCCTCTCTGAAATCTGTTGCTGCCCACCTTTATCCAATATGTAACTGAACAGCTGTTGGAAAATCAGATCTCACCACATGCCCACAAATCATTAACAGTTTTCTGCATATGAATATGAAGAACTTGTGAACAGAGAACAAGCTATCTGATATTTCACGTTCAGTCCCCTGGTGCATCCCTCTAAACTTGATTTGATGAGTGATGTTTGAACAGATTTGTTTTTTTTTCCTAAAACCCTCTGACAAAGTCACATTTGTAGAAAATCTCAAAGGTACTGGATATTATATGAAGATGAATAATAATATTTTTTGAGCTTTTTAAAAATATATCTGCAAACAAAGACCGTCGCACAAAACAAAAACTCTTGGCCTGGGTTTCTAGTGGCTACACCAGAGATTCAGGTAAAACTCCCCCCACAGGCTATGTGCTCAGTCCCGTTTTGCAGATCCACTACACAACATTTTTCCCCATCTTGCCTGAACTGTAGGGGTCACTGTGTTTCAGCTAACGAGTGGGGGGTTGTTTAGACAATGCATCTTGCAGCTCTTATGCTGCTGGTTTACTGGTACAGGAGAAAATCAGTCAACACTATAAACTTGGATGTAAAATGAAACTCTTTAACTTGTTTGTCTGGAACGGGTTGTTCTATGTACTGTCCACGTTGCAGCATGTGTCATTGCACAGGATGCAAGGTCCTCTTGTCCTTGTATTGTGTTTTTTTGTGTGTATTCCAAAGTGGCAGTCGACCCGTACCTGAAACAATGTCACCAAGAAAAAAGTCCCATTGATTTAACCGCACAACTCATCGCCTGCATGCTCTTCACTACTAAAAACTGATTTACTGCTATTATAGTTTCTGTGAGCCTGATGATGAGTTCAGATGTTAGGATACATGTAGAGACAAAATGGAGGCTTGCGTAAGTTATTGGCAGCATGGCACAGAACGATAATAATCCTATATGAAGCATAAAATGTTATCTGTTTTATCAGGTTTGTTTTTCTGACTGTGACAGACTCACTGAATCAAAGATCATTCTAAACATGTCCAGTTGCACTTGGAGTATATATGTGCACCTTGCAAGAAAAAAAAGATTATCATAAATAGGATTAGAGAAAGTAATTATGTGAGTTGTGCAATCAGGGAACTTCTGCCCCAATATAATTAAAGATTTTGTGGATGAAACAACATTTACAGTCTGATTTTCGGACCTCTATGAAGAGAGGGGGGATTTTTCAGAAACCCTGGACTGCAGCAGACCAAAAAGGTTCATTTAAGCAGTGCTGCAGCTCCCTCAGAGTGCGTTAAGGTGGCGCAGCAGTGATATAAAGGGTAAGTTGGAGGCTGCAGATTCAAAGCCTTGGATTGGCTCTGTGCTGGTAAACAGGAGAGGTTCATCTTAAACTCTCTTGCCTCCCTCATCAACTTACAGTGCTTGTTAATGCATTTTACCTTCCACTGGAGCAGGTGAAAACAGGAAGATTACTTGTTTACTGTGGGCACTGCTAGGGTGTGAGGCCATGCAAACGTAGCAGTGCATTACATGCTCAGTGAATCTTCCCTGCAGTACATGCATTCATGGTTCAGTGGTCTGTCTTACTCTGAATATTTAATGACTCAATTAGTAAACTAAAATTTGGAAAGACTCGCCCAATACCTGAAAAGTTGCATGGCTGTTGATGACACCATCCGCCAACATTTTACTGCTGTTGTTCTATTCTTGCTTTTCCATAGCCAATCTTTTAATTTAATTTATATCGTGTCTGCAGATAGCGGATTTTCAATGTCAAATGAGTGGCTCGAAGCAAGGGCAGGCAGCCACTTGTGAGGCCCGGGCAACCTACAGACAGAAGAAAGGGGAAATGGAATTCCCTATGCATAAAAGACTTGGCGATATCAAATCTGATCTGACTTATCTCTTTATTGTAGTCTGCCTGGCTTTGTTCCAAATCGCTGCCAAGTGTGCATTCTCATTGTGAGGACCATTTTTGCAAAACAAAACCTCTATTTTTAACAACTCGGCCCTACAGTTACAATAGCAAGTGTGAATTTAATGCTTAAGTGAATCTTTCACTTGCCCTTTCCGTACATCATGAAAGCTTCTTTTCTTCTTCTTCTTCTTTTCTGGTTAATGCAGTTCATAAAAGATGAGATGATGCAATTTATGGATCAAAATGAGTCCATCGTTCATTGAT